TTAGAGATAGTAGTAGATGCCTGCTACTACTATTTTTATATGCAAGTTACCCAGCCACAAGCAGTGAGAAGGCAAGGGGCTGAGGGAGAGTATTGAGCAGCAGCCTAGTGCAGTTTATTTGGTGAAGAACTGATATTATGTGTGTGTTGCTAGTTTGTAGGATCCTGTTATACTGTACTGTTGTATTTTCATGTAATAAATATTTGTCTGTAGACAACTGGTTTTTGCTCTTGTCCTGGTGAGGCGTTCTGGGGAGAGAGAGAAACGGTTGCAGATCGGTTCACAGCGGACAATAATATCATGAAGGGGAATTAGGATGAGATCAGCCCAAAACAAGGAGAGTGGGCCTGTCGTGGTAGCTCGACAGGGTGTGTATTCATGACATATAGGTCAGTTTCGAGCCGTTTCCCCAATTAAAGGTGACGTTGAATCCTTCTCCGTGTATACAACGATTCCAGGGTTATCTTCCAACATGCACCCCAGTGTCCATTACTGGGGTGACGACAGCAGCGGTATAGTGGCAGCGGTTGATCTTATTATGTCAGGGAAGTGGTACGGTTCTCTGTTCGTTAGAAGATAAGTAGAGTTAAGTATCAGTTTAAACACAAAGAATTCCTGAGAAAATAGGAAGACTGAACTATAATTTACAAATAGATACCAAAGTGTAATAGTCAAAGTAAAATCGGATTTATCCACCATGTACAGCTCAATCCTAAAGGGTACTGTGCTTGCTCCAGGCGGTTGTTCATTCCCAATAACACAAATTATAATGCTGTATATGGTCTTTCAACAGGCAAAAAAAAAAAAAACGAAAAAAACCTCCCCTCCCTTCGAAAAAAGTGCCTTCCCCTGCAGCAGGACTCCTCGCTGCATAACACCACGTTACCTTACAGTATATGTATGCTTTAACAGCTTCTCCCCCGAACCAACCTACCCTAGGTTGGCGCCCTGGTGAGGCCACTCCAGACCGACAACCAGAGCGCAACTCCATAGTCTCCTGAGACTGATGGATGCCTACTATTGCTACTATGCTTAGGGGTGCCTTCACCCTATGCCCAGTGGCTGGGGGGATTGGTGTCCTGAAGCTATTAAAACCCTATACCCCCCCCCCCCGAAGTGGCAAGGGGAGTTAGGGGACAACAACAAAAATTACCATGCGATGATTTCGGGGCTCAACGTCCTCGCTCAGTGGGGGGGGGGGGACGAGGACGTTGACCAGGCCAACAGCCTGGTCAACCTGCTTGCTGCCTGACGTATGAGTCACAGCCTGGTTGATCAGGTATCCTTAGGTGGTGTTTATCAAGTTCTCTCTTCAACACTGTGAGGGGTCGGCCATTTATACCCCTTATGTGTAGTGGAAGCGTGTTGAACAGTCTCGGGCTTCGGGATGTTTATACAGTGTTCTCTGATTGTGCCTATGGCACCTCTGCTCTTCACTGGTTCTATTCTGCATTTTGTTCTATATCGTTCACTCCAATACGTTGTTATTTTACTGTGTAGATTTGGGACCCGGCCCTCCAGTATCTACTACTGGAGTTGAATTCTGTCACCCATGCAGCAGGTCCTTCCCCTCTCCACGCCGCCGAAAGTTTCCAAAAGAAAGTCTCCAATGTAAAGACAAACGCCAATACGATTGGTTCCAGCGCCATCGTACTGTCAGAACGAGGTTGAAGTAAGTGTGTAACAACTCTTGTATATATCTCCCCCCAAAAAAAGTAATTATCAAAGAAGGCAGAAAGAGGTTTGAAGGAAACTACAAACTGCTCTAGGGGCTCTAGCTAGTTACCTAACCCGGAGACCGTCGTGGTCATTTTTTTTTTTTTTTTAAGGACAACTAGCGTCTTGAAAAGTCATCATCGGTAGAGCATCTCTAGTGTGAAAGGTTCTTGTTATCCAACCTGTCATTTTTCTTGCAGTTGTGTTCTTACCTTTAAAGGTAAGATCTTCCGACATGAGTACACCCAAATCCTTTACATTGCCTTTTCGTTCCATGTTATGATTTGACTGCGATTTGAACGTGGTTTCAGTTTTTATATTTTGTATTTTTTTCCGTAGCGCAGGAGCTGGAACTTATCTTCAATAAATACCATATTATTTTCCGTAGCCCATTGTCACATTTGTCGAAGGCTTTTGCGAAATCTGTGTAAATTACATCAGCGTTTTGCTTTCTTCCGTGTCACAGTGGTCCAGCAACTGTGATAGGCAAGAGCCCTGACCTGCGGCAGTGTCTCATTGCTGGAGACGGAAAAAAAATCAGGCGGGAAAGACCTTGTTCACAGCTGAGAAGGCAACTTCCTTCATTATAGCTTCCCAAGAGAGGGCAGCGATGTAGCCCACGACGGGGCCCACCGTCTCCTCCACGCTCCGGGCTTGGGTCTGTATAGTAGCTTTGAGGCCTTTGGCAGCAAAAGGGCCCTGAGAAGCCACGGCGTCCACCGCCGTGGCGTCCACCGTCGTGGCATCCACCTCCATGATGTCTACGTCCATGATGTCTACGTCCATGGTGTCCACCGTCGTGGTGTCCATCGTCGTGCCGTCCACCTCCATGGTTTTCACCTCCATGGTTTTCACCTCCATGGTTTTCACCTCCATGGTTTTCACCGCCATGGTTTTCATCGTCGTGGCGTCCACCTTCATGGCGTCCACCGCCATTTTGTCCATGGTCATGGTACCCACTACCATTTTGTCCACCACGATGGTATCCACCGACAGATACCTCTTCCGAGGCCAGATCCGGCTGATGACGTGGGTGAAAATGGTCCCAGCGCCCACCTGAGGCACCCGACCGTTTGGGTCCTGAGTGAACCGGGGGTCTGCCTGCCCCTGCCCGCTCACCTGGCACAGGTTGTTCTCCCTCGCCAGGTCTACCAAGTACTCCCGGTACTCCTGGTAGAGCCCCAGGCACTTGTTGACGGCGCTCAATCCCAACCACCTGGTTAGGAATCCCAAGGCCGAACCCATCGTGAAGGACAAGGCCAAATAGCTACCAGCCCTCAAGAAGGAGCTCCACGATTCCCACTTGAGCGCCAGCAGCTGGTCTTCCCCCGCTAGCCACATCTTCAGGTCCTTGATCTGGCTCACCCTCCTGATGAGGGTGGCCAGGGACCTGACTACAGGGAGCCAGGTCACCCAACAACCGGTTGGGTCCTGGCTGAGGAGGGAATTGACCCTCACCTGGGGGTCAGGGACCAGGGCCCCCATTAGGGGGACACGTCTGGCAATGGAGGCCACACCCTGGTTCCGGACCTGGTGGAGGTAGATCTCCTGGACCTGGTCCACCAGATGGTCCCGGTAGAACCCCAGGATCCTGTTGGTGGCCTCCAAACCCAACCACCCCACTAAACCCATAACGCCAGATTTGAGGCCCTCCACCCATTCCACCTCCAACAACCACGGGACGGCCCTACATCTCTTCAGCCTCCCCAGCAACCCAAAATGCTCCAGCACATGGATTAGCAACCCGAACACCACCATCATCCAACCCACAACCATCCAACCCACAATCTCCCAACCCAACCACCTCAAACACGACATTATAAACTTCAGTGCTCTTATCATTGTTAGTAAATCTTTAAATTTGTAATCCCATTTATTTATATTTTACACGGAAATATGGTGACGTCTTGAGTTGATGGGAAAGGGAGATGATGGGTCAACCCCTCCACCGTGCGGGGTAGGGAACTCATAGGTTAACCTATGCGGGGGATTGAGGGAGGTAATAAGTCAACACATCCTCCGAGGACATTAACAGGTGTGGAGTGTGACTGGGGTGGTACATCAGTCGAATTATAACACAGGTGTCCTAAGATCAGCTCATCGTGGACAGAAACCTCGCGTAGAGCGAAAGTTCAAGAAAGAACTATCCCATCCCATCTGGGATAGGTTCCAGATGTGAAGATTCTAGTCCCAACGAGCGTAATAAATATTGGATAGTTTTTTGCAAGAAGTGCCGGACCAACCGGGCTGCGGTGGGCCTACGGGCCGCTCCAAGCAACAGAATGATGGACCAAGCTCTCAGAAGACAAGCCTGGCCCCAGGCCGGGCTTGGGGAGTGAAAGAACTCCCAGAACCCCATCAAGCAAGTACAGATCTAGTTGTGGATGAGATTATAACAGTGGTAGCGCTTGTGGTTGTGGTGAAGACAGCTGAGACAACGGTAGTGAGAGGGGAATACCAAGGGGAGGAGAGCGGGGTGCTGGGAGAAGTTAGTGAGGGGAGGGCTGGTGGTCACCTAGACAACGAGGGGAGGAGGCGAGGGAAACCACAAAGTCATTAGTGGAAGTCGAGGGGAAGTGTGACTAGGGGACTCGCCTGGTTCTGCTTGCGGGGGTTGAGCTTCAGCTCTTTGGTCCCACTTCTCAACTGTCAATCAACTGGTGTACAGATTCCTGAATCGGTGTAGAGGTTCCAGGTGTGTGGGTGAGTGAGAGAGAGCGACTTGGTGACACACATGACTATTTTGGTTGGTGACACACATGACTCCTGTGGTTGGTGACACACATGACTACTGTGGTTGGTGACACACATGACTACTGTGGTTGGTGACACACATGACTACTGTGGTTGGTGACACACATGACTACTGTGGTTGGTGACACACATGACTACTGTGGTTGGTGACACACATGACTACTGTGGTTGGTGACACACATGACTCCTGTGGTTGGTGATTATTGGCGATGTTACAGGGAAAAAGTGACCTTTCGTGAGACTAGGGAAAGAACGTGACTTTTCTTTGAGAACACAGGGAGAAAGTAACTTTTTGAGAACTCAGGGAGAAAGTAACTTTCTAGAGAACACAGGGAGAAAGTAACTTTTTGAGAACTCAGGGAGAAAGTAACTTTCTTGAGAACACAGGGAGAAACTAACTTTCTTGAGAACACAGGGAGAAAGTAACTTTTTGAGAACACAGGGAGAAAGTAACTTTCTTGAGAACACAGGGAGAAAGTAACTTTTTGAGAACTCAGGGAGAATGTAACTTTCTTTTGAGAACATGGTAATTAAATACAACTTGCGAGGTCGAGAAGAAAAAAGTGACTGTTGTGGAAGTCACTGACTGGCAGCACGTGACTGTTGTGGAAGTCACTGACTGGCAGCACGTGACTGTTGTGGAAGTCACTGACTGGCAGCACGTGACTGTTGTGGAAGTCACTGACTGGCAGCACGTGACTGTTGTGGAAGTCACTGACTGGCAGCTGGTGACTGTTGTGGAAGTCACTGACTGGCAGCACGTGACTGTTGTGGAAGTCACTGACTGGCAGCACGTGACTGTTGTGGAAGACTGTTGTGGAAGTCACTGACTGGCAGCACGTGACTGTTGTGGAAGTCACTGACTGGCAGCACGTGACTGTTGTGGAAGTCACTGACTGACTGTTGTGGAAGTCACTGACTGGCACTGACTGCACGTGACTGTTGTGGAAGTCACTGACTGGCAGCACGTGACTGTTGTGGAAGTCACTGACTGGCGGCACGTGACTGTTGTGGAAGTCACTGACTGGCGGCACGTGACTGTTGTGGAAGTCACTGACTGGCGGCACGTGACTGTTGTGGAAGTCACTGACTGGCGGCACGTGACTGTTGCGGAAGTCACTGACTGGGGGCACGTGACTGTTGTGGAAGTCACTGACTGGCGGCACGTGACTGTTGTGGAAGTCACTGACTGGCAGCACGTGACTGTTGTGGAAGTCACTGACTGGCGGCACGTGACTGTTGTGGAAGTCACTGACTGGCAGCACGTGACTGTTGTGTTTACAGAGCGAGAGTGGTTGACTACAGAGGGGAGAGACCAGCTGAGGGCAGGATGGTTATAGACGACGTGAGGGGAGACAAATTTCTCGGCAATGTACAGTGACAGTGTGAGGGGAGGGTGAGGGGTGAGTCAGTGAGAGGAGGCTGAGTGAGGGGTTTGGGGCTGAGTGACAGGTGAGGACGCAGTGAGGGGGAGGGCTGAAAGAGGAATGAGAGCTGAGCGAGGGGAGAGGACTGACTGAGAGGTGAGGAACGAGGGCTGCGCGAGGGGCTAAGACTGAGTGAGGGGTAAGGTTTGGGTGAGAAGTGAGGGACGGGGATTGAGTGACGGGGGTATGAGCGTTGACGACTAAGGATTGAGTGAATTGGAGTTAAGGATTTGCGAGGGACAGAAACAAAAGGGAGAAGGGGTAGGTTATGGGTAAGGGTGAGGGGTCTGTGATGAGTAAGGGTGAAGGATGGATGAGCGGTAGGTAATGGGTGAAGGATGGATGAGCGGTAGGTAATGGGTGAAGGATGGATGAACGTTACCTGGTTGATACCTGGTTGATGGGGTTCTGGGAGTTCTTCTACTCCCCAAGCCCGGCCCGAGGCCAGGCTCGACTTGTGAGAGTTTGGTCCACCAGGCTGTTGCTTGGAGCGGCCCGCAGGCCCACATACCCACCACAGCCCGGTTGGTCCGGCACTCCTTGGAGGAATAAATCTAGTTTCCTCTTGAAAATGTCCACGGTTGTTCCGGCAATATTTCTTATGCTTGCTGGGAGGACGTTGAACAACCGCGGACCTCTGATGTTTATACAGTGTTCTCTGATTGTGCCTATGGCACCTCTGCTCTTCACTGGTTCTATTCTACATTTTCTTCCATATCGTTCACTCCAGTACGTTGTTATTTTACTGTGTAGATTTGGTACTTGGCCCTCCAGTATCTTCCAGGTGTATATTATTTGATATCTCTCTCGTCTTCTTTCTAGTGAGTACATTTGGAGGGCTTTGAGACGATCCCAATAATTTAGGTGCTTTATCTCGTCTATGCGTGCCGTATATGTTCTCTGTATTCCCTCTATTTCAGCAACCTCTCCTGCTCTGAAGGGGGAAGTGAGTACTGAGCAGTACTCAAGACGGGACAACACAAGTGACTTGAAGAGTACAACCATTGTGATGGGATCCCTGGATTTGAAAGTTCTCGTAATCCATCCTATCATTTTTCTGGCTGTCGCAATATTTGCTTGGTTATGCTCCTTAAACGTTAGGTCGTCAGACATTATTATTCCCAAATCCTTTACATGCTGTTTTCCTACTATGGGTACATTTGATTGTGTTTTGTACCCTGTATTATGTTTAAGGTCCTCATTTTTACCGTACCTGAGTACCTGGAATTTATCACTGTTAAACATCATGTTATTTTCTGATGCCCAGTCGAAAACTTTATTAATATCAGCTTGAAGTTTTTCAATGTCCTCAGCCGAAGTAATTTTCATACTGATTTTTGTGTCATCTGCAAAGGATGATACGAAGCTGTGACTTGTATTTTTGTCTATATCTGATATGAGAATAAGGAAAAGAATAAGAACGGTGGGTAATGGGTGAAGGATGGATGAGCGGTGGGTAATGGATGAGGGATGGGCAATGAGTTAGGGTGAAGGGTGTGTGATGAGAAAGGATGAGGGATGAGTGATGGATGAGTGTTTGATGGGTGAGGAGTAATGAGTGAGGGGTGGGCGAAAGCGATAGCTGGTTGAGGGAGAGAGCTGGTTGAAGGTGAAAGCTGGTTGAGAGACAGGGCCGCCCCAAGATGAGACCATGAACCAGACCTCACTACAACAGGCTGCCGACCACATTAACAACAATGACACACTCTCCTGCAGAACAGCAGGAAAATTCGACGACTCAGTTTATCGTGAGATACGAGCAGCAGCGGGAGATGATCACCTGCTCTCATCTGTGTCCCCGCCATACCGGATGGTAAAGCGAGGGTGCCGGATGTGGTGGCGAGGGTGCCGGATGTGGTGGCAAGGGTGTCGGATGTGGTGGCAAGGGTGCCGGATGTGGTGGCAAGGGTGCCGGATGTGGTGGCAAGGGTGCCGGATGTGGTGGCAAGGGTGCCGGATGTGGTGGCAAGGGTGCCGGATGTGGTGGCAAGGGTGCCGGATGTGGTGGCAAGGGTGCCGGATGTGGTGGCAAGGGTGCCGGATGTGGTGGCAAGGGTGCCGGATGTGGTGTCAAGGGTGCCGGATGTGGTGGCAAGGGTGCCGGATGTGGTGGCAAGGGTGCCGGATGTGGTGGCAAGGGTGCCGGATGTGGTGTCAAGGGTGCCGGATGTGGTGGCAAGGGTGCCGGATGTGGTGGCAAGGGTGCCGGATGTGGTGGCAAGGGTGCCGGATGTGGTGGCAAGGGTGCCGGTGTAATATTTAAGATATACGCAATCATTATGATTCCAGATGCTACATTAAAGGTACCAAACGCAGTATTGCAGGCGCCAGAGAGCTGGACCCCACTGTGGGGGGGGGGGGAGGCTGGACTCCCCAGGACCCCACTGTGGGGGGGGCTGGACTCCCCAGGACCCCACTGTGGGGGAGAGGCTGGACTCCCCAGGACCCCACTGTGGGGGAGAGGATGGACTCCCCAGGACCCCACTGTGGGGGGGGCTGGACTCCCCAGGACCCCACTGTGGGGGGGGGGGGGCTGGACTCCCCAGGACCCCACTGTTGGGGAGAGGCTGGACTCCCCAGGACCACACTGTGGGGGGGAGGCTGGACTCCCCAGGACCCCACTGTGGGGGGGGGCTGGACTCCCCAGGACCCCACTGTGGGGGGGGCTGGACTCCCCAGGACCCCACTGTGGTGGGGGGGCTGGACTCCCCAGGACCCCACTGTGGGGGGGGGGCTGGACTCCCCAGGACCCCACTGTGGGGGGGGGCTGGACTCCCCAGGACCCCACTGTGGGGGCTGGACTCCACGGGACCTTTAACTACCTGTTATCTACCTGTTATTGGTTCTCGGGTCAACATCCCCGCAGCCCGGTTACTGACCAGCCCTCCCCCCCCCCCCCCTCGAATTTCTGGTTAGAGGACTGGTCAATCAGACTGTTGACGGTAGCTGCTCGCAGCCTGACACAAGAGGTTTCCATGAGTGTTTATCAAGATCTCTCTTGAACACCGTGAGAGGTCGGCCAGTTATGGCCCTGATGTGTTGAGGGAGAGTGATGAATAGTATTCGGCCCATGATGTTACCTGGAGCATACCTAGAGAGGGAACTGAGAGTTCGTCTAATCTCTGAGCCCGGCCTGAGGCCAGGCTCAGCTTGTTATCGCAAGTTGTGGCTTGGAGCAGCCCGCAGGCCCACATATTCACCACAGGCTGGTTGGTCCGGCACTTTTTGCAAGAACTTATTTAAGTGCCTCTTGAGTACATTCTCCTTTGTTTCAGCCATACGTTGAGAGAGAGCTCTCAGCAGAAGACATGGCAGGATGTGCAGAATACCCCCGTTGAAAAGCAGAGGTGCAACAGGTACTCTGAGAGAGAACTATCAACATCAGAGGCCCGAGACTGTTCAACACGCTTCCACTACACATAAGGGGCATAACTGGCCGACCCCTCACAGTGTTCAAGAGAGAACTGGATAAAGAATATCCAAAGGATATGTGATCAACCAGGCTGTGATTCGTAGGTCAGGCTGCGAGCAGCCGCGTCCAACAGCCTGGTTGACCAGTCCAGCAACCAGGAGGCCTGGTCGACGACCGGGCCGCGGGGACGCTAAGCCCCGGAAGCACCTCAAGGTAAGGTAGCTTACCTAATGCCTTTTCAATCGGGCTATTTTTCACTTCTTGGTCTTACGAGTAGTTATTTCCGTGTGTAGATTTGGAATCAGTTCCAAATCAAGTTCGGCTATCAAGGGAACACTGTTCTCGTTCCAGTTGGCATCTTGTTCACTTTTTCCTCAGTGGCATATGACTTGCACCAATATCTAGCACTACTCTGCCTATTGTCTCAAAGAACTGATATAGGTATGAATTATCTGGCTGCTCTTGCCAGCATATTTCTGTAGGTCTTGGTTTATTTGTGCCCTGATGTTCATTTTATTATTAAAAATCGATTTTGGTGACTTTCATGCTCTTGGATATGAGACTGGCTTCATAGGTCTACTGCCCACATCTGTAAAGATTGAATTCTAGAATTTATATCTTACCCACTGATAAAACATGATTAGGGCTCCGTTGTTAGTGGTTGGACTCCAATGAACGTCACTCAAGTGGGTGGACTCTGCCGGACACAGTGATGGGAGGGGGAGGGACTTCACCAGATCTCACTGTACCTGTAGCATACTTGGGAAGGGTTCTGGGAGTTCTTCCACTCCCTGAACCCGGCCTGAGGACAGGCAGGCCCACATATCCACTACAGCCCGGCTGGTCCGGCACTTCTTGCAAGAACTTATCTAAGTGCCGCTTGAAGACATCCACTTTGTTCCAACAATATTTTTAATGCTTGTTGGGAGGGTGTTGAACAGCTGTGGACCTCTGATGTCATGGATCCACGGTTGTTCAACGACTATCAGAAATATTGCCGGAACAACCGTGGACGTCTTCAAGAGAAAACTAGACTGTTTTCTCCAAGGAGTGCCGGACCAACCGGGCTGTGGTGGATATGTGGGCCTGCGGGCAGCTCCAAGCAACAGCCTAATGGACCAAACTCTCACAAGTCGAGCCTGGCCTCGGACCGGGCTTGGGGAGTAGGACAACTCCCAGAACCCCATCAACCAGGTATCAACCAATCCACCAGTGTTCTCTGAGTGTGCCTATGGCGCCTCTACTCCTCACTGGTTATATTCTTTTCGTATATTTCGCTCCAGTAAGCTGTGCTGGAGGACTCTGTCGAACCTTACTGTAGTGGGCGAACTCCGCTGGATCTCACTATTTTGGGGAATTCCACCGGACCCACTAGGAAATGGACTATAATTGGCTCCTATTGGACCTCATTTTTTTTTTTTTTTTTTTTTGGGGGGGGGGGGGGACCTAACTGTGGTGAGAGACTGCATCAAACCTCCCTGTTTAGGGGGACTCCACCAGACCTCACCTGTGGTCGGTGGACTCCACCAGACCTCACTGGGGTGGGTGTGGGGTGTCGACACCGGATTTCCTCTCTGTACCGGGAGCCGGATGTGAATGTTGCGACGCCTGGCAGCTCCGTCACCAGAGGTAAACAATGGGGAAACAATAATAGATAACGTGATAAAATGTGTTTGTCTTGCTGATTTGTTTAGTAAACGATGTTGTGGTGAGGAGTGGATGGGCGGAGCAGCGGGCCAGCGTGGCTAAGGTGCAGAGGGAGTGTGCGGGGGGGGCCCCGTGAACATCTTTACCAATAATTTACCTGTAGTTGTTTTCGAGAGTTTTCCTACTTTCCCCACTTTATCGCCAAGATTGTTGCTCGCAGTAGCCTGCAGGCTTTCAACCCGTATGACCAGGCTCTTTCTGCAGCAACTTGTCCAAGTGCACATCAATTGTCCAACTGATATACCAGTTTGCAATTTTTTTCGGTTTATAGGAGGATGAAAACCCATAAACCTCTGATATTCATTTAGTGTTCTCTAATTATGCTTATTGCACTTCTTATTCTTCAATGGATCTATTCTGCTGTGTCTACCATATCTTTGATTGTGGCAAGTTGTAAATTTATTGTTCATAAATGGATCCTTATCACCCAATATCACCCATGAGTATATTATATGCAAATTCAAATCCGAAAACGTTATTCCAGATAATATATTTTGAGTGTGTTATATCTTCCCAACAATTTAGATGTTCTACTGCATGTATGCCAACAATCTATGTTCTCTCTATTCCTTCTATTTCAAAAATCTCTCCTGCCTTGAGAGGGGAAAGTACCGAATAGTATTAAAGGCGGGAAAACATATAAAGGATTTGAAAGTTTAAATCATTGTGGTGGCATCCTTCAATTTGAAAGGTCTATTATAATAATATACACCCTACATGCATTATATTGTCTATTATAATAATATACACCCTACATGCATTATATTGTCTATTATAATAATATACACCCTACATGCATTATATTGTCTATTATAATAATATACACCCTACATGCATTATATTGTCTATTATAATAATATACACCCTACATGCATTATATTGTCTATTATAATAATATACACCCTACATGCATTATATTGTCTATTATAATAATATACACCCTACATGCATTATATTGTCTATTATAATAATATACACCCTACATGCATTATATTGTCTATTATAATAATATACACCCTACATGCATTATATTGTCTATTATAATAATATACACCCTACATGCATTATATTGTCTATTATAATAATATACACCCTACATGCATTATATTGTCTATTATAATAATATACACCCTACATGCATTATATTGTCTATTATAATAATATACACCCTACATGCATTATATTGTCTATTATAATAATATACACCCTACATGCATTATATTGTCTATTATAATAATATACACCCTACATGCATTATATTGTCTATTATAATAATATACACCCTACATGCATTATATTGTCTATTATAATAATATACACCCTACATGCATTATATTGTCTATTATAATAATATACACCCTACATGCATTATATTGTCTATTATAATAATATACACCCTACATGCATTATATTGTCTATTATAATAATATACACCCTACATGCATTATATTGTCTATTATAATAATATACACCCTACATGCATTATATTGTCTATTATAATAATATACACCCTACATGCATTATATTGTCTATTATAATAATAAACACCCTACATGCATTATATTGTCTATTATAATAATATACACCCTATTATTTTCCACCCATATACACCCTATTTCGTTAGGTTCACTAAACGTCAGGTCGTTCGACGTCATTATTTATATTGTTTTACATGTCATTATTTAACATGTTTCAGTCCTATAAGAAGATTTGTTTGCGTCGTATACTGTATCCTATTTCTTGATCGATATTTTGATAGGATTTACCAATGTTGAAAATCATGTTGTTTCCATATCCATTCCATTCCAGATAAGGCCTCCCCCATTTTAGTTAATAATATATGTAGTCTAATATTGTAGTGAATGTTGTCGGAAAATCCGACACCATTTAATATATCATACAGACAGATAATAGCTGTGTTGTATAAACAAGTTAACCATAGAAAACGTAACTTGTAGTGGAATTACCGTCTATAGAAAACGGGATATCATCACCACATACTATTATAATTCACCACCTATTATGGTGGGAATTATTCTAAATACATTAGTCTTTGGACTTTACCATTATAAAAACATCTCATATAAATTAACTTAATTATCAATATTAAAGTAGAGTAAATGTGACACTTCTATCACTTATTGACATCTGGACAATGTAGGCCAGGCGTCAG